AAAATAAAATATCATTTTTAAAAAATACAAAATTTGATTTAAACAAATAAATTGTCATAAAAAAATTCAGGATGTTATGGTTTTTTCGGAAATATTTCAGACAAATATTTTAACTAAACTGGTTAAAAGATCACAGTTTGATCCCCACGTTCACCAGCTTGATATCAAGCAGTTCCGATATTATATTTTTATTTATGATTATTGATCTCGAATATGATTTCTAATAAAAATAGTTTTTCGGGGGCATTGCTGCAATATGCATTCACATCACTATTAGAAATATTTTTAATATGATCTCAATAGAAAAAGATGGTCAACCATTGGATTGAGCTTTCGAAATACTATGTTAAGAAATGTACAACAAAACAGCTTATAGAACACATAGTTAAAATTGAAAATTTTATAATATAAAAAAAGTGCTTAGAAAATTATCAATCAAGAAATTTTATTATAGCAGTGATTTTGGGATAAACCAATCATTCACAATACTATTTTTTTAAATATGTAATGTTATTAGAATAAAACAGTTTTGATGCTTTACAAAAAATGAGAAAATCAATGTAGAATATTTTAAAAAATTCTATTATCGCAGTCGGCGCTAAGGCGGAAGTCTGTTTAAATCTCAGACGCGACGTGTCAGTTTTTTTCTCAGAAATTCATCATAGTAGAAAAAATTACGTTTTTCTAAAAATAAAACAAATTGTAGTGGTCCACAGCAAACTGTCCCGCTGCAAACGACCTATATACACACAAGCTCGTGTACTCGTGACTTTTTTTGTTAACAATTCCATTTTCATAATTTAATTAGACGCTACTGCCCGGGATAGAACGCGTTAGTAGGACATCTGGTCATAATTTTTTTTTAAAAAATTTACTTAACTAAGACAAAATACGAAAGAAAAAAAATCAATACAAGAAAAAAAATATTTCACAAATAATTCTGGTTAACTACGTTTAAAAAATTATGTTTTGTTATATTTTATTCATAAGCATTTGTTAAAAGTTTATGTTATAATTTGTTACATATTATTTTTATTAGCGATAATAAAAGTCGTTTTGTGTTTATAATTAGTTTTTTATCCTATTTATAATCCACTCGCTCTTTTCTTGTATGATTTGATTTTATGACTAACTCATCGTATTTAAGGAAGTTTTTCAGTATGTCCACCACATATACAAACGTTCAAGTTACCATTCAACTTACTTTTCTCTCACAATTTGTCAGTTAACTGGTAAATTAACGAAGTTATTGCTGATAAAAGCTGTCACAATCGTACCCAGTCTCCTCTACTGACTTAAATATGGCGAAAATAGTGGTAATTCATATTTGAATAATTATCTACCTAAATCTACAGCGTGGAATTAAGTAAACTTTTTCACGGGCCTGATTATTATAGAGTTTAAACGTAATAGATGTGCATAAAATTATAATTACAGTAGAACTACGCTTCTTTACGCCGATCCCTCCGCATTTTCAATAATTATCTATAAATAAAATATCATATAAAATGACAATAAAACATACAATAACAAATATAGTATTTTTAATGATATAACTTACAAAATCACGAGTATCAGAGCAATAAATCTTGAAGGCATACTGGATCTCGTCTATAGGTAGCACTCGTACACACAGGTCGTCATGCTGATGTCATATATAGGCGACACTCGTATGACACATATGTAACACCTAATGTTATTGACTAAAAATTATGCTTTAGCTTTTTTGTGTACTTTTTATTAATAACTGCTGCTTTTTGTCCAGAACCAGCACAGGTAAAACACTTTGATTTAATATTATAGTAGGTAGTCCTGTTCTTTCTGAACTTAAAAAGTATTTTTCACTTTTTAGCAGTTAAGTAAAATTTATATCACTAACATATCAGTTAACACCAACAATTATTATTTCCTTATCACGTAGTATGATTGTGTGATTACACCAAAACAACAAAAAAATTAAATCCACTGTACTTTTATCCCATGTGTTCATATTAAATAAATACTATCAGAAATCAGTTCATTAAAGTTTCTAGGGCCCCCTCGTGGACCGACACCTGCTTTGGACTGACTGGCGTCAAGCAGCAGTGATATCGGTTTTCTACTTGGAAACATAGAAATAGCAATATGTTCCCAGGTAAAAACAGCCCAAACATTTCAAGTAAAAAAGATGTACTATTAGTACGAGAAAGCACATCTACATAAATATATGTCAATAAACTACTTCTATCGCAGCATAATAAAAATTAATTTGCCAATCATCTTGTTTTTAATTAACGCACAATTAAAAAACTCTATATCTAATAATACAGCATTCCTAGATCCTAAATAAATATTTATCGTCTTCCTTCCTCTTCATGATTAGAAGAGAACTTTTGAGTAATACTCCTATTAGACGCCACACTATTCACAAGTCCGTTAAATAAATATTGAAACAGCTTAAATATTTCGTCCATTCACAAACAAATTAACAAAGATCAATATTATATACAAGTAACAAAAAATGCTACAAGGGATACACAGACAATAGATAAATTAGAATCTGGACAAGTGAAAGAATAAAGATCATCTATTAAACGAACTAGTAAACCAAAAATTTAATTATGAATGATTTGAATTGGTTTTCTATTAAGGAACTAAGTATTCAATTACTGTAAAACCCTCATTAAGACGATTGTGCTTGAAACGATTTGAATCATCACAATGAATTATTTTCCTACACCGCTTAATACGCCTTCAAAAATTGTCTTAACGGAGTTTAACTGTATTTCTTCTAGAAAACTTCTAAATAGTATAAATACGTTACAAGCTCAAAATTCAGTTTGGTTTTGTTATTAATTTTGAGGCTTACAATATAAACAATGTAGGTGAAATAAATTAGAAAAAGCATGGGAAAATTTAAAGACAAATATGTTTGAAATTGTCGTATATTATGTAGTCAAACATACGTTAAAAATGAGTAATTATGCACTAAAGCAATGAAAATGTTCGCGCCAAAAGTATTATTTTAATAAAAATTTTGCGTATTGTTATAGGAGCTATTTATTTAACTAATTCGCTATTGTATGTTTTAATTAATATGTTTTCTTTGGTACAAAGCCATGACAAAATTAATAATTGAACCGAAAGAAAATGTTTCATCTTCAACATCAAATTTGTCGGATCGAAATTGTGCAACACATTTAAATTTATAAATTTGAACAAACATGAAACCAAAACATATATCAATTAATAAACTTATTCATTTTATCGCATAAAGTTCAAGCAGTGCATTTATGAAATAATGTTATTATAACAAAGAAAATAACTTCAATTTTATGTACAATTATTTTAAAATTGTCAAGAATGCATTTTTTTTTTTCGTGGAATTATATTGGAAAACATCGTAGTAATTCGTTTATCAAAAATGTTTTTATTTGAAAAATAGTACACAATCTCGAGTTACAAGATCTTGCATTATAGTTTTTCATTCGTATTACGGATTTTTTATTTTATTCGTTTTCTTCTGAATATTTTCACAAAAAAATAATTAATTTTGTTCTTTAATTATTTCTTATTACTATTATTATTATTATTTTGCTGCTTTCACTATATTAGTCAAACATACAGATTTCCAATCTTCCGATAACAGATCAAATATATTTTTGGAATGAAACCATTTCTTCACAAAACATTACAAATCATAACTAAAAAATTGAATTATTTTATTAAATATATTTAGCCCTGGTTGTTATGACCTAGGAAAAGAAGAATAAGTCAATATTTTAATTCGAATAACATTATCAAAGCAACCCAACCAAAAACTATTTGTAGTTCATCATTCATTTAAGAAGGAAAAAATAAATAAAATTATAGAAGATTTCCTACTTAATTAATTATTTAATTTGAGATAAGTGTATAACATTCTTTATTATTGCATTCCACCATTTGACTATTTATCTCATGTTTATTAAAAATATTCGTCAACCTCATAATCACAACTTGACTTTGCCACAAATACAAGCTATAAAATTTAGAATAATTTTCAATAAAACTCATGGTATCTGCAGAATTCTAAAATACTCAAACAGAGTACTCAAATCTTCAGCTGATATAAAAAAAACTTATATCACATAGATAGCCAATCCACAAGAAAATCTTTTGAAAACATCGTACATGATGAAAAAGTTCATCCTTGTTTTAGTATATAAGCTCAATTTGCATAAATGAATTACGGTTTTAATTATTAAAACCGTAATTCTAGCAGTTTTGTTTACCATGATATGGACTAAAACGAATTTATATTCAATGTAAAATAATTTTATTGTATATTTTCATAATCAGTAATATCCAATGAATTAATACAAATTAATCGATATTCTATCTCATTTAATAAAGAATGAAAGATGCACATATTAAAACCATGGAAAAGTAACATATAAAATACTTCAATATTTTATAAACTCTTAACATATGTGTTACACAAAAATTTGTTACTACTAGTAGCGGCGCCAGTTCCTCATTCGACTTCATTAGAAATATTCTATCAACACAAATTAAAAAAAGATTTGAAAACTGTAAGGAACCACACAAAGTGTATAAAGATAATCGTATTTCCAAGCCGCCACTAGTTACTACTAAACACAACACATCCAATTGTTTATGACAAGTTCCTGCCAACAATAATCATTTGATTTAGAATGTTTTTTTCATAAATTAGACTTAATTGACTATCACAAGAGTACTGTAAAACATTTACATATACATATAATGGAAATTGTCATAATCATTTAGATATTCGATAATATATATCTGTAATCAACAATATAAGTACATTCAATTTTAATATGTACCCACTGATTAAATATCACTACTAAATATGATAACAATAACAATGTTTATATTAAAATTTTAAAATAATCATCTGGAACTAAAAGTAACAAATGGCTAAATCACTACAAAAATAATTTTAAATGTTTTTTTTTTGTTTTCCATAAAATCATTTTTATATTATGATTCGACCATAAGCCTCAATGCGGAAAATGATTATAAAATTCAAATTATGATAAATTATCTATACAAATTCGTAGCAACAATTTCAGTGATAATAAATAAATAAATACAAATTATTGTTAAAATTCGTACTACGCTGCTTCAAGGGTGTCAAACAGAACACAACTCTAAAATTTTTTGCTAAAACCTAATGCTGAAAAACTATTTATTAATATAACTGCAACGCTATTGTTACATGTTATGTTATTTTGGTGCTCATATTCTCAGCAATAATTTTGGTAGAATAATTAATCGTTAATTTCTTAAAATGAAATTTCAACATTAAAATAATCATCTGTTCAATTGTCTAAAAATTACTTGAATATATAGGTTTATGTGATGGAGTTTGTATCACAATTTCCTGAATGATCCAAAAGTAAATCACGAAAATCATAAATTAATTCATAGCGTTTGTTTCCAAGAAGTATTAAAATGCCATATACAGATAAAATTAGGAATGTGTATCCATAAACTTTGACACCCTTGTCTTATATAAAAATAAGTTTAAACAATAACACCGGGTTCGTTGTAATTAAGACATTATCCACGATTCACTCTTAAAAAAATTATAATTCAGTATATTAATTGTTGATGACACAAATTCTGTTTTAGCTGTACAATGAATTTTTGTCCGTATCTTTTATAACATACCTTGTAATACCATACATCTTGATGAATTTATTAGATGACATGAAAATCCTGATATAAAAAGATGCCATTGATGAATATTGCAATGGAGAAGGCATTTCAACACTTATAAATATGTAATTACTCTCTTATAAATATTTAGTTAATATATATTCTATATACATAATTAGATTGATTCACAATCATTTGATCTGATATAAATTAGTAATTTTGAAGGTATTATTTATGATTCCCGCAAGGGTTTATATCATTGTGCAATTTATGTTATAATCTTCTGTGTGACAGCACAAAAAATCACTAGTCCGTTTTTAACTTGATTATATATAAAATTATTTCATCACAAAAATATATCGCATCAAATTTACCAAAATTTACGATTACTGTATACGGCCAAATGCAGTTGGATAAGATCTTAAATATTTAGTATGAACAGATTCTTGAAATTACAATAGCAGGAATTCGGCGGTATAAAGATTTTTAGCAAATTTGAAGTAATATCTTTGATCTCATATACAACTTTGAGGAGAAATAACTACTTCATAATTTTGTTAGTTATTGCTGCATAAATCGATCCTGAAAATAAAAAAGATTTTGTTAGAATTATTGCTTAAAGAATATAAAATAAAATTGATTTAGCAGTAAATACACAACCTTCATGTTAATGATTTTATTAATTAAAATCGTTCTTGAAAATTTGGATTACTTTACACAAAAATTCAATTAAAAAAAATAACAGGCATATTAGCCAACACAGAATAATTAAAAATTCAAGAAATATTAGAAGTACATAATAATTGTGTATATATACATAAGCGTAGCATTAACCAGTTAACTGTTTCTTCTGAATCGAGGTTGGCAAGTGTATTTGTCCATCACAGAGTAAGCTGAGTTGGTAAGATATTGAATGAAAAAGATGGGTTAATTTCTCAAAATTGAGAATTGTATCATTAAATATTACTTCTTTGTTTAATATATTTTTGTATATTATACTAAAAACAAAATAAATTCAATGAAATATTGTGCATATACTCCACTATATTACAATTAAGAATTCAATTTCTTGATGTAGATTGATATGAGCATTATAAAATATTATAGACCTACAAAAGTAGTTTAATTATAAAAATGCTTCGAAGTTTCAAATTATTACTCTTACAATTAGTGTATGTACTGTAGAGATATATTACACTCTACGCTTTGCACTGACCAAGGTTGACGTGCACTTTTAAATAAACTAAATTTTTAGAACATGAATTAGTATAAAATATGTGAAATAAATTCAATTAAATTAATTTAGTTACATGTACTATAAGCTATAAGTTTGTTTTAAAAGTATCAATTGAAAATCGCATTGATTAGTTTTTGGTGGAAATATTTTAGTTATTTGAATATGGTCACTGTTTTATATGCATAACAAATATACTTATAAATACACAAAATTTTGCAACTTCTCCATTGGAAGTATACTAATCTATCACAGTTAACTGGTTAAATCATTGCAGTAGTTACAATTTTGAATTTACTAGAATTATGAATCAGTTTCATAGAATTATTTTTGTTATTGAATACATATGTATTCAATAACATAATCTATTTTATAATTTATATTATAAAGGAAAATATAGTAAATTATACAGTGGTACCTCGACTTACGACTGATCTGACATAGGAGTGTATCGAGATACAAACCGCCAAAGAATAAGCGATTCATTGCATTGACATTTGAGCAAAATTCGAGATACGACCTTTAAGCGAGTAACGGTTTTCTAGATAAATGGTAATGGCAAAATGAAAATATGAAAAACTTCCTCAGTTGTAACAATGAATTTCCTTCCATAGAAATATTTTGGCCGTTTTATGAGGGTAAATGATTATATAGTTAGTCACTTCAATCATATATTAATATTAATTGAGTAGTAACAATTTACCCATATACAAGATTATTTTAACATTTGAAATTTTAGCTATACATTTAATATTGATTGTACTGTTATATAGGTTGTGTTTGAGTTTTTTGCTTTTTGCACATTACAAAACAATATTTACTTTTAAACCATGGGTAAAAATATTGAAAATTATGAGGATGTACAAAGGTAACACATAGATATGTAATATATAAACTATAAACTCCAGGTAAGGGCCTCACAATAATTTATATGCAGATTTCTGAGCTCTAAAAGATTTTATCGGTGAGATAGATATCACCTCAAAAAAGTTGCAACAGTTTGATCATGGGAGTTGTTACATACATACCTAATACATTTCCCCAAATATCATGAATGAACATTGGACAGGAAACAATTAGACAAAAAAACAGCATTTTGATGTATTTATATGAAAAGAATTGCTTCGAGATACAAGCAATTTAACATACGACCGTGGTTATGTAACAAATTAAACTCATATGCCGGGGTACCACTGTAATATAAACTGTGTTAAAACGTACCAGTTGTTACCTTGTTACAATAAATTTATTTTAATTCACTAAAACGCTATTGCTGTGTGCGTTGTTGAACACTGCCCAACGGTTACTCTATACATTGCCATTTCACTAATGCCGTGGTAATGAACAAAAGCAGCGGCTATCACAAGCACATGGAAGATCTGATGAGATTGGAACTGCAAAAAAAAAATCACATTTAGTCTATAAAAGAATTAAACATACAATAATAATGGTGTCATTACAAAAAATTCCTACCTCCCATGACACATTATAATAAAATATATCAACACATAATAACACAATAATTTTTATTGTAAATATTCATAACCTACATTTGTGATTGTAAAGTTTGATGAAATTAAATTTAACTTCTACCACAAATCAGAATTCAAGTAATTAAAATACCAGACACTTCTGCCTGACAATTTAAAAAAATAAAGTAGTTGGTACTTTAAAATATAGTCTTCACAAATTAATATACAAAGTTTACTCTCGAGTTGAATTTTTTAAGACTCCATACTCGACATACAGTTTTACTTAACTTGTATAAAAATGAACATACAATCCTAATTTAATTTAATAATACATTATTATAGGATTTTATCACATGAACAATTAGCAACAAATTTGAAAAGTTTTGTAACTGCGCTTAATGAAACTTTTGTAACAAAATTGCCAAAGTTAGTACAAAATTTCATAAATATATAAAAAGTTGATAATCAGCATATAATAATTTCAAACCAAGATAATTTAATAAATAATAACATACATAGTTTACCAAATTAATCATTTGAGAAATATGAGTTTAATGTTTGAAGTTACTAGTTACACATTTTCAATTGTATGTAAACCAATAATGCTTTCTTGAAAAAAAAAAACTACTGATCATACAATTATGATAAGTATAAAATTACATACCCAGATATCACATTTTCCTGGGAAGAACCTTTCTGGAACACGGAGAGCATAAAACATAGCTCCTAGTATATATAACATACCTAAAAAATTTGATTAAGCATTTTAGATACATATACAAATAAAATTTTATTTATAAACAAACTTTTAACTTACCCATTAGAACAAGCCAGCCAAGACTAGCTTGACTGATTTGATTGAACCAGCCTTCCATGAGGCCATAATGCACTGCTGGTACAACCCCCGATAACCCGAATCCCATAAAAACACCTGGAAGAGAAGAATTCAGTTATAGAAGACAGAATATAAAAAAATACATACATTTTTATTAAAAAATACTTCATTTATGTTATTTCTATGTATATGTATCTATATGCTCATATTATAGAACAAAACCTTTTGAAAAAAAAATTGATTGTGCTTAACTGGGTTTAACAAAACTTTGAGAACATAATTGCTAAAGTTAATACAACATTCACAATAATTTTATGCAGAGTGTTATAGTATTTTAATTATATATTATAATTCCTATCATGACATAAAATATATAAAGCTGATAATCTGCACATAATAATTTGAAATCAAGGCATTTTAATATATGGTCTAAAGTAAACTACTAACCTGCTCTAAGAGGCCTAAGTTTTGGTTCTGAAAACCTATCCCACAAGGAAACAATGATGGACAATATTCCAAGAATAACAACCACCGATAAATAAATCAATTTTGGCTGATAATGACAATAGAAACCATAATAGAGCCATGGTACGAATGATCCCATAATAAGCAGAGCAATTCCACAATAGTCTAACCTGAAAATATTCAAAATAGTTAATTACAAATTCATAATAAATAGATTAGCAAAATTTGATTTAACTTACTTTGAAAATAATTTTCCTACAAATTCTGAGTGGCAACTCAGAGTATGGAATGCAAAAGAGAAACCAAGGCACACAATGGCCCCAGCAAAGAAAGAACCAAATATTAATTTATCTTCTAATGGTATTTCAGAAGTAGGCATTGCCAGAAAATATACAGCTATGCCTATAAATGCTATACAACCTGTAATACAAAGTAATTATATGTATAAAATATACTTGTAATCAAACGTTAAATATTACTAATCGTATATATTGTACATTGAGAAAAATACTTTGACTAGAAATAGTTTCCTAAATTTGTAGTTTACAGCTACATTTCATATTAACTTTCATCGCTTTACTAATAATATACATGAAGATTAAAACATCTTTTAATAACATCATCATAAACCATTTAGAAACAAAATGTATGCACATGTTGATCACATTCTGACCATTGTAAATAAAACTCAATAGTGCTGCCACTATTCAAGTTGTTTTTGTAAATATTATTCATCTACTAATATAAAACTGTAGAGAAATTCATTTGGATTAATTAATTTTGGTCCTAATGACGCAAGTACGATATCTGAGGCAAGTATGATTTGCAGTTGCAAAAAAATTAAAAAATATAGATAACAATTTGTACACATTTACCCACAAAGTACAATAAAATTTAACTTGAAAATATGATTTTTAATTTTTCATTAAATATTTTAATTTTTCAGTAACTAGTATACAATAAGCATAAATTCATTATATTTTTTGCACTTACCTAATAAATGGGTCCATATATTACCAGTCTCTGTGTGGATTCGGAAAATGGACTTGAAGCAAGCTCCAAATGATGGCAAGGGTGGTCTGTGTCCTTTGTGCAGGTAATCATTATCTTGCAGCCATCGAGGAAGATTTTTAAAATGACAAACCTTCCATGAGGCTTCCCATACCTGATTATTTAAGAAATGCTAAAATTTGACACAGAATAGTACTATTATAGACCCCGTGCAGCGTGCATTGACAATAAATATATATTGAAAATAAAGCATTCCAAAGCAATATACTAATACATTACAATATAATCATATTAATAATAATTCAAATATTTAAATACATAATAATTAAATAAATTTAAATACAAAAGAACTTTTTCTGGACAATATTTTGATTACAAAAATATCACGATCGTTTATATAAAATAAACTGTGTACATGCAAAATTGAACTACTTCAAAAAAATTTGTGACGCGTCGAAAATTATCACACTTTTTAAGGCACTTTTACGATCTGAATATCATTTAAATTCCAAATTAATAATCAAACTATTATACTCAGAAAATATTCCAATGAAATTTCTTATGCACCTTGCGAACGAATTCTTCTGCTTGTTCGGCTGCATTATGAGCTAAAGCTCCAATGTCTATTTCATCGGACAGAACGCCAGCTTTTAGAACTTCAGTCATCTAAAATAATAAATTTAAAATAATATAGCCATCAGTTATATATATATATATATATATATATATATATGTATATATATATATATATATATTTAATATTGAAGCTTTATTTAATTCAATATTAATAAAATAATATACATAAATTTTTATAACACGTTTAAAAATATATGTTTTCTACTACTATAAAAATATATATTATAGAATTTATGATCGAAATACCTCATTTAAACTTCTGTAATTACATAGTCAATTCAAAAACAAATTCTACAATTATACCAACTACTAAATTAATTAATTTCTGATTAATTCATACATAATTATCTGAATATATAGTTATCCAGATTCATTATATAGCAAAATAACTAATCTCACATTCATCACCTACTATAATATGTATAGCAAATCCTGTGCTATGTACGAAACTAAAAGCTAAACGAGATTTTATTACCTACAAAAAAGCTCCATAATATTGACTTTATGTGTTGATTATATGTTATATATGTTAATTAATTTCTATCTAACCTCGGCGTCCAAGAGCAGCTGGTCTTCAGGAGTAGAAGGTAAAGGACATCCAGCTCCGTCTTCTTCTTCGGCCAATGAAACTCCATCGTCGTCCAACAGGTCCTTGATTTCCGATCGCATGCTGTCTTCGTCGGGATGCCATATCTGTCTCTTCCTCAAAACGCTGTCTGTGAGTTCCAAAGGGGGCAATGGGCCGTCCGTCATACTGCGCCCGTCCTCAGACTCGGAATCGGTATACTGGGGCATCCTGCTTGCTGATCCTAGAAAATTAATTGTGAAAATTTAAAAAACAGAATTTTTATCAAACATTTTTTTTTTCAATTATTTTTGAACAGCAATCAGAACCCAATAGTCCTATAAGCTGTTGTGCTGATTTGACTTAATACTAGTCTGTTTGACAGATGGCAACCCAATCATTGGCCACATCTCTATATGATATATTATTATTACAATTTCTGTAATAGGGCGAGTATATTTATTACTGCAGCAATGCCGGGTGAGGGCTATTTTCACTTGGAAATATATTACTATCTATATTTCCAAGTAAAAATCGTTGCCACTGCTGTCTGACAACAGGCTGCTCGAAGTGGGTATCGAATCCGAGACCTCTGATTCAGGTCCCATCGCTCTTAACCGCTTACCTACGGGCGAGCCCAAACATATTTTAATCTCATATTTTTTATTATATGTTTAGGTGTTATACTGTTCATTAAACAAAAAAAATGCTGTTACATATATACATTTGAAGAATACAGAGTTTCAAATGCTTCTAATTATAAGGCAAACACTCTGTACTCAAATAACCAATGAAAGTTATCAGTCTCCTTTTAAAGTGTCGAAAACTCTTGTATTCTTTAAAAAATACTATTACTAGCAATTGTAGTTTCGTGCACAATCTTATAACTATTACATTTTCGTACTATTATTCTACGATGTGAAGATTAATATAATTAAAAGTTTCATATCTATTTTTAGTAGAATAAATAGAATTGTACGTCGAAACGTTTGGAATAATGAAGATGTATGAATCTTTACAATCCTTGATTTTAGTTGATGTTATGCCCTCTAAGAATTTTTTCGTACATTTCAACACACACACACACACACACACACACACACACACATATATATATATATATATATATATATATATGTGTGTGTGTGTGTATATGTGTTTGTGTGTGTATGTGCTTTAGCATTTAACATAAGCACAATTTTAGTTGATTTTTGAAAACAAAACATTAAATTTAAACATACACTATGTTTAAAGAACGACGTTAAGCAAATTTAACATATAATAAGGTATCATCATATCAATAAGCTAAGAATTAACATTTTTTTATCTTTATTTATTATTTTGTCAATCAAGACTCAGGGTCTTATAATACAAAACTGTTAGCCATATATATACTCTTCCTTTATCTATGCTGTTAGCATAGACAATAAAAAGAACAATCAAATAAAGTATACAATATACATAATAAGTAACAAAAGTTAAGAAACTAAAATAAAATAAAAAAATGAAGTAAGAAATAAAAATTTAAATGAAAAAATTGGCTTGGTGAGAGGTGTTGCCGTCTAAAGAATTAAAATATAAAAAATAATATTTATTATAATTTGTTCTTTCATTTCTCGCCTATCTTTTTGTTATTTTTAAATATTGTGCAGTGCATGGTCGTTCCTTTCATTATTTTTGCCTATTTTGAATAAATATTTCAAATAATACAATTATATTAATTTTTGGATTTTATTCTTGAAATGTAGCCCAATAGTTGAAATAAAAAGCAATAAATAACTGTTTATCATGTACGTTTAGACACTGTACGTGTGTCGCCATTCAGCACGTTGACAAATCAACAAAGAATAAAAAGAACAATCAAATAAAGTATACAATATACATAATAAGTAACAAAAGTTAAGAAACTAAAATAAAATAAAAAAATGAAGTAAGAAATAAAAATTTAAATGAAAAAATTGGCTTGGTGAGAGGTGTTGCCGTCTAAAGAATTAAAATATAAAAAATAATATTTATTATAATTTGTTCTTTCATTTCTCGCCTATCTTTTTGTTATTTTTAAATATTGTGCAGTGCATGGTCGTTCCTTTCATTATTTTTGCCTATTTTGAATAAATATTTCAAATAATACAATTATATTAATTTTTGGATTTTATTCTTGAAATGTAGCCCAATAGTTGAAATAAAAAGCAATAAATAACTGTTTATCATGTACGTTTAGACACTGTACGTGTGTCGCCATTCAGCACGTTGACAAATCCTAAAATAAATTATAGAATGTTCATAAAATTTATATTAATACACCCCACGTGTCAGGGATATATTTTTTGCGTTCAGATTTCAAAGACTATACATTTATTTAAAGACTGTACTTTTATTTTCGTTTGCGGATACCACAAAATGCAATCAAAAATATTTATGTCCAATCAAATGTATCAAAATAAAAAATGAATGAAATTTTTATTGCCTAACGATATTCGGAAGTTACAAATATAAATTACAATTTTATTTGATAAACTTTACTTTATCAAAAATAGTACTTTATAAAAAAATATTTAAAAATGCAGAACAGATTGTGAATAGCGTAAAACTTTACCAGTATTTAATACTATTGTTATTATCAATTCATTACATTTAACTCCACATTATGAACGATTCCTCAGCAATGATTTAAATAATATCTACTAATTGCTACTATAGAAATGATATTTATAGGTATTAGTGCTTGACCTTCGGTGATTACACGAGAAAATATAGATAAGTAAATATTATCTTCAAAACTTGTCGCAAATATAACAAATTAATCTAAATCGAATTTTATTGCGCAATTGTATTTAATATAAAAGCAACTACACAAGTTATAAAATGTAAAGATCTTATCAAAAACTTTCTGCGCAATATTTGTAAACTGGAGAAGTATAAATGTAAATATTTTTAAGCAAAAATTTATAAATTGATTTAATTAGTCGATAAAGAATTTATAATTGATTGAGAAGAAATGTATTGAGATCAACAACAAATTAATTACTAGTAACAATGATGCAAGTTGAGCTAGAGCAAAACATTCAACAAGTAATTCAATATTAAAATATATAAATAAATTAAAATATATAAATAAAATTTTGATTTTCAAATTGCATGTACATAATATAATTAGAAACACATAAAATTACTATAAATGAAAGAAGCATTAAATTCATCATAATGAATATTGAAATCATCTAATTTACAACTTTTATGCAGTAATACCACTCTTAACACTTCATTTAGCGCTCTTATATTTTAACCTGGGGTTTCACCAAAATATAGGTGCAATCCTGAAAGAAATAGTGGAATTAGCGAAACAAATGGGCTTATATTAGATAAATGCGAAAGATGTCGAAGAAATAGTTGAAAAAATAGCAGCTAGTCTTTCTAATGATGATCTAAAGCAATTAACTGAGTAAGAAAAAACAACAAAAATATTGATAGTTAATCATTTCGCAAAAGAGCAAATAGAACTTTCAACGGTGCTCGTAAATTGATCTTTGAATAATATGATAAATTAAGGAACATTTTTTGAAAATGATCCAGAATTTTGACTGGAGTTTAAAAGTAAGTTGAGGTATCATAGAAGCTTTATCTAAGGCAGCGATTTCCAACCTTTTCTTCCTTGCGCCCCCCTTTCGAATGATAAAAATATTGCGCCCCCCTCCCATTCTTATTTTTCTAACAATTTAATTTAAATATACTTAATATAACTGAAATTATGCCAAATAATACACAGTATTATAAAAAATATACATACAAACATAACTATTTATTATAAGAATTTTCTGTTTCACATAAGTAAGATCTCACAAATGGTAATAAAATTTCTGAAGCATTATTTGCCAAAGTAGGAAAATCGTCCTTTACTGGTAACCAAAACTTAACAATATATTTTCGTCCTGAAACATCTGCGTCAATATTCTATCACTAGATAAATTAATTATCATTTTCTGCTCTGCTGTTGAATTACCAAAATCATCATGTTTCTCAATGACAAATTGATTTCTAATCCATTCGTATTTGGACGTAATTAGATAAAGTAATGCGAAAATTAGTTTCGTAGACTAGTCATATATATTTTTTTTTTTTTTTTTTTTTTTTTTTTTTTTTTTATTATTTATTATTCATAGCAAGCTATACAAAGTAGACTAGTCATATGACTGATATAATAATAAGATCTTTACTTACTTCTATTTCATCAGTAACACAAGTATTTTAAAAGTGTAAAACATGTTAAAGTTATGAAGCTATTTGATACTAGCTATACACAGTTCAAATTTTTTCATTAAAGCCGTAATCTTGTCTTTATGAACAAAAGCACGAATTTGAGATCCTTGCATTGATTTAATTAAATCGCTAAGTCTTTGAAAAATATCAACTAAATACGCAAATTTTGCGAGAAACTTTGTGTCCTAAAACAAGATTGCTCCGTCTCTTTTGTTATCAGCAAGAAATATAGCAATTTCTTTTTTGAGTTCAAACACTCTTAGAAGTACTTTAAGTATTTTGCTGATTTGTTTTTGACACATACTCAGCATTTAAAAATAATATTTTTGAAACAACTTTGCGCCCCCCCTGGAACGGTATGGCGCCACCCCAGGGGAGCGCACCCCACAGGTTGGAAATCACTGATCTAAGGCATAAGGTTACGTTAGATGCCTTTTTGACAGTAAGGTAAAAAATTGGAAACCCAGAAAATACTGAATGATCTCATTATAAATACTTTTATAAGGATCGTCGTTTATATTAATTCTGATTTTTGTAAAAAAAAATATATTAAAAATAACCACTGTTCACTGATCACGATGTTTCGCTTTACGCTCTACTTTGATTAAACGCAACCCCCGCGTTAAGCAGGGTTATAATTAATATATTTATATATTTTTATTTCTCATTTCATATATATATTTAATGTTTGAACATTTGAATTACTGATATGTCGATTGCCTTGAACTGATAAAAAAACAGTATTAGTATAATGTGAAATTAATATTTAGATAGCCAGACAATAGATAAATTGTAGGCATCCAAATGGCACAGAATATATCGTGAAATATTAACAAACCTACACGAAATGTAATGTATAGTCGAACATAGTCGTATTCTTTCACCTTAATATAATATGTTAGAAGCAACCTTGGACTTGGTCGTAACCCTTTTGAAAGACACTATCGATGCGCCATAGACAGCAAGAAAATATATATTAATTTAAAA